GCCGCTACCGGCATAACCCTAGGGAAGACTTCCGGGGGCAGCGAGTCTGGCCGCCCCTCGCCTCGAAGCCACGGCCAACCCCCGGGCGGTGCCGCGATGGCGTCCGGCCACATCCCTGCAACGACAGAAGGCTGCATGGCATATGCTGGGGTAGGCATGGCTAAGGAAAACCATACTCCTAGCAACCTGCCAAGGCGGCGGAAACCTAGGGGCTGGGGAGCAGGTTTAGGGGCTAAACCCCTAGAGGGTGAGAATCTGCATGGTGGGCACCGGTCGCGCTGCTGCACTTCCAAACGTGGCGAGCAACAGGACCCCAACGGCAGAAGAACCCTCTCATTACATCCTCCGCGCAGAGCAGCTCGGATGGCTGCAGACCGGCGGCCGTGATGCAGCAATCGCCTGCACATGACGTTCAGAAGAAGCACAAAGGTCCACAGGTGCAGTCCAATAGCGATCCCATGAACATGCGCGGCAGCTGAGTCGAGGCTGCATGGGTCGGAAACCAAGCAGCCTGCTAGAAACACGAGGGCACAGGCCCCTGGAAGTACTCGGCCTGATTCCCCGCTTGGGCTCGCCCTGCAACAGACCATAGCGAAGCAGGCGAGGGCAAAGAGAACCGCGGTAGGCAGACGCCACCAAGGGGCATCCGGGAGAACATCAGCACGCCCCGGGGGAGTGCCTTTCTGCACTCGGGTGCGCCCCTGCACCGGTTGCAAAATTCGGCCTGACACGGGAGCAACTTCCAGGTGGGCGGCTCGGGATCCCCAGGTCCTAAACCCCAAGAGGGACAAGGAACCTAGCCTCCTATAGCCGGGAACAAAAACCCACATGAAACTACCGGGGGCCTCGGAAGGCCACGAGCACGGGGAGAGGTATGTGGCTGAGAGCCCAGAGCCACCGATCTCACTATTTGGCGCCCACAACAACTCCCCTGCAAAATTGGGCCAAAGGCCGGGGGCAATCGGCCAAGCACAAGAACGAAAGCCCAAATCCAAGGCGGCCTGGCAGAGACACACTCCAAAGGAAACACAAGCCCAGTGTTCCAGAAGAGAGGTCGAGGACAACGGAAGGCGAGGAAGAGGACAAGGTCCTGAGATGGGAGTGGCCTTCGCGGTGCGGCTGGAAAACACGCCTGACCAACCTACAGCTGTACAGGCTCTCACTGGGTTTGTACAGGCCTCCGAGAAGCCCAACCACGGACGGCATGAGTCAAGCTGCCAGCCTTCGTCGCCAGCCCGCCGAAAAACTGTGCCCACACAGTATTCGGGAGCTGGAGAGTCCAGGACGGCGCTAGCCCAATCCGCTCGTGGGGGGCTTCCCACTAAGCAGGACGACCACCGGGTGGAGGTTCTCCAGGAACAGGGACAGGTGTACTGCCAGCCAGCTCGTCGTCGGAGGCGATCGGTATATGCATAGGGCCACCATTTATCGTGGCAAACCCCGGCGCAGGCGGTGGTGTCTCCGGTGGCAGCCCGAATGGCCTCATGGCCGAACGCGCCCCAGATGCCCGCTTCTGAGCAACTCTTTCCTCCAGAGAGGGCGCGTCGCCAGCATCGTCCTTGGCATCCGATTGTCTCGGACCATCGTAGGGGCCAACCCTGGCCGGGGGCGAAACCGATGGAGCCGGCGCCTTGAGATAGGCGCCCCCAGGCGAAGTCTGATATGGGTCGACCATGGCAGCATCTGTATAGGTGGTCCTGCCGGCAACAGCACTCGCTGCCCTCATCTCGTCCGCCATACGCAGGATCTGTGCCTGCATCCCGGCCGGCACGGAAAAGGGATCGGAGGGCAGACCACCGCCGAAAGCAGGAGCCGCCACGTTTGGCCCGGCTGGCTCCGCGGGGGGCTGCGGAGGCATATTCTGTGGCCGTCCATGCAGGGCAGGCAGCCTCGACAGCCCGTCCGACGCACCTGCGTGTGCGAGTGCCCGACTCAGCACACCATTGAGGTCCGAGCCATCGTCCTGCTCCCAGGCCTCCCGGGTTCGGTCCCAGTCCATGGCCTCCTCCTGGTTCACATCCGCCTGGGGCACCGCATGACCAGCCACCGTCTGGTACACAGCTCGCCTCGCCAGGTCTTGAGCCTTCAAGGCTTCCGACATCTCCGTGTCCAACCTCTGCATGTTCGCGGTGAACTTGCGCTTCTCGCGAAGGAAGGTCTGCTTGAGCTCCTCGTCGTAGACCGCCCACTGCTTGTGAGCCTTGTCTCGGCTTGCAAGCAGCCTTTGTACCTTGAGCTCGGCCTTCCTCGCCAAGTTCAAAACCGGCTGAACCCCCATAACAGAACCAGGCTCGGGGTCTTCTGTGGGCTGAGCATTGCCCTTCGCGGCACCTTTCGCAGCCCGCCTGCTCGAGCCGGCCTCCGAGTCCTTCACCTGCATGGATTGGTAGGTGGGAAATCGTGGTCGGGGGGTCGAATCGCCCTCTCCCGGTTGCTTCCAAGGGCGCTGGGAAGGTGAGTAGGCACCACGCCAGTATGGGGTGGAGCCACCAGGGCCATCGCCGCCCTCTTGGTCGTACCTGTTCCATTTGGCCTTGCCGCGGCCCATACCCCGTTCCAGCTGCGCACGGAATCGCGGGCAAGTCGCGTGGTGCGACAGAAGCGCTTGGCACTGGGCCTTGGAAACAGGCTTCCCAGATCGCAAAGCCGCTCTTGTCCGCGAGCGGCGAGCACGTAGTCGCCGATGCCACCCCGGAGATGGCTTATGCAGGCCTATCGCGAGGGCCGAAGAGAGACGCACTTCGTGCGTGGGGCCTAGGTATTCCGGTGCTCCCCGGCGATCCTGAGCCCTATACATACATACATACATACATACACACACATACACATAGACATACACATGCACATACATATTTACATACATACATACATACATACTTACTTACATACTTACACACTTACATACATACATACACATAGTCATATACATCTACATCTACATATACATATACAGTTACATATACATATACATATACACGCATCTACACTTACATTTACATCTACATGTGTGTATACATACATATATATATATATATATATGTACATATGTGTGTATATATATATATATGATTCCTTAACAGGTAGGTTTGTTTTGGGTGGGGGGTGCAGGTAGAGTCTCCTCGATGGCTTTTGGGACCGAGGAAGTCTTCCAGTCCATGATCGTTGCATTGGGTTACTAAAGGGGCTTGAGAGTTAGCACTGCCATGCTTCACACCATGTTTAATTAAGGTGTCCTGCTATGATATGGTGGAAAAATTGAAAGCAACAATGAAAATGCCCAAAGCCCTATTGCACAGATATTCAGGCCCCTATACTCAGCGAGGCCCCCCCCCACACACACACACACACACACTAACTAACACGTTTCACAAGGAACATCCATTCGAGTGTTCGGCATGCCAGGAAGGATCCCTAAATTCGTTCCAGTCATCGAATCGACGGTGTCCATTTCAGCAACTTTACACTTCCGCTGAACACGCCACTGGCTACAGTGTCAAGACTCCAAGATTCTTCGCAGAAACGTTCTAGAAGCCCTAAGACCCTAAACCCTAATACCCTAAACCCTTACACCCTTAACCCTAAATTCTAAGACCCTAAACCCTTACACCCTAAACCCTAAGACCCTATACTACAAATTCCTGGGTTTGGGATGCTGGACGTGCACCGGCCTGAGGTGACAAACACCGCTCTCACCCTGAATCTGCAGCTTCAGTAGCCCACAAAGGCGAGTTACTGTCCTCCAATTTATCGAGTGATCCTGAGGAAACCTTAAGCCCTAAACCCTCTCGCGACGGAGATCGAGCGCTATGGCTTCAAGGTATTCAACATGAACACAGACTCCGACGTATTGAAGGTCGAATTGTTGTTCCAGAACAGCATCCTCCTGAACAACGTCCGGGTGAACTTCCTCGCAGAAGTGGTGTCTTTCGATGTGAAGGAAAAACAGGACCTGGCAGAGGCAGAGGAAGCCCGGAAGTTGCTGCAGCATTTTGGCTACCGCACAGGCCCAACCAGACGCGAGCCGCCCGCATTGCTCGCTGCAGCTGCGTCGCTTCACATGGCTCAATCCGCCGGGCGGAGTAGATGATGGATTCGCAGTCAGGACAGCCTGCCCGGCACCATCCGCGGCCTTGTGGACGAGAACGCCCGAGTGAAGGATGAACGCAGAAGCAGAACAACCTGGATGCGGGTCGGTGCGACACTACCGAACGCGGTCTTCAGCGGCAGCATGGCTCGTCCTGCCGACTTCGTGTCGGGGCAGAATACTGAGTAATAGTCTGTTCGGTGTTCTAGTGCTGGACATGCATGAAGAGAACGTCGCGCGTAATCCGTCACAAAGAACGAATCGCAATTGAACAAATTGAAGCGACGTGAATGCGTGTTCTTACTAGCAAGCAAAGCACACCCTCTATTCAACTAAACCCATGTCTTGATTGCCCTAAATTAGGGATAATTAGTCAGGTTTTCAGATTTGGGCTGAGGCACTTCGGAGTGCAGAGGCTTCTATGTTCAGCGTGTAAGTAACACGAGTTTGTGTTTTCCGCTTGGGATTTACTAACGGAGCCTAAATCGTTACCATAATTACAAATACCATCGGTTATAGTTATAGTATTCATGGGCCCCAAAACCATATCCTAATTATTTTGGCCCCTGAATCGGTGTTCAGGGCCTGTGCGTTCGAAACGCTGCCAAATCGAGTGTAGGTAGCATTCGGTTGATTGGTGTCGGGCGGGATGCAGTTTGGGTTTTCTGGGTTTAGGGGCAAAGGCTGCAATTGAGTCCTAACCTCACAACCCTTAATTCCTGGGATTTTTATGGGAGTTTCACGCCGGGTTTCACACGGGTTTGTGCCGTTGCGGCTTGCGGCTGGCAGGCAACTCCAAAACCCAATTAGAAGGCAAGGTTTTGGGTTAACGTTCCCTGAAGCCTGAAGCCCTGACCCTTACAACTCCGAATGCCCTGAGCCCAAAACCCAAAGCCTTCAGCTTGTGCCAGGCTCAATGGGCTCAGGAACTAGTACCAGCTGTACATGCAAGCAGGGGCCCAAGCACTTTATGACCTACATTAACGCACGTAGCAAAACCCTACTCATACTCTTTTTTGGGTTCTTATTCTAAACCTGGGTATAGGTGTTAAAGGTACCCTCATTACAAGAAAGTAGGTTCTGGTGGGTTAAAGTCGGATGTTTCGGGCGAAAAGGGTTACATGCAGGGTTTGCAAAGGCTGCCAAGGATTTTGTGAAGGGTTCTGACTAGCCGTCTGCAAGTGGCATTGACTGGCTGTATACATATATATATATATATATGTATATTTGTTATACATATACATATACATATACATATACATATACATATACATATACATACATATATATATATATGTGTGTGTGTGCGTGTGTGTGAGTGTGTGTGCGTGCGTGTGGGGGTTCGGTTCTATAGTCTGCGGTTTGGGCGAGTCCTGATGGGGTTCCTTGATAAATCTTGGTGGGTGTACGGGCTTGGGATGTACCGGTAGATTCAAGGTGATTTTACAGGATTTTGCACATCAGCAGAAGTACCTACCTAGGCTTAATTGGAGTGGTGGCAGAGTAGGCAGGAACTGCTGCGTTCCTGGCAAAGAACCCGAGAACACCAAAGCTGAACAGGCAAACCTTCAAGCGCTCGCGATTACCAAGCGGCCCCCCATGCATCCTCTGCTGTACCCCAAATGCATCGAAATACTATACTGAAACCGAAATACCGCTAAAGGCCCAAGATGCGGGACCAAGGAATGCGCCGATTTAGTGGATCCTCTCACATCTGAGACCCGAAGCCCTGAACCCCAAACCCCTAAGGGTTTTATAGAAGTAGTAGGCTTCTGGGTTCTTGACATGTTACTCTAAGGGTTGCCGCAAGGCTTTTTTTTTGTGTGTCGAGGGCTTAGGGGCTCTCCTAAGGGCGAGTGGCATCCTATTGCAAGGAGCCCATGATCCTGGGCGTAGGGTTTGGTCTCCTCGAGATGTCAAAAGTCTCAGGGTCCCAATTAAGAGTAAGATCCACGCCTAGGATTCCGATAGTTCTACTACAACATATACCCTAGCAGCCCTAGCACCCCGCTCTCCCAGCTTTCCTTGTAGTTCTACTACGTTTACGACTCTGTGCTGATTCACGGCCTTCCATTGCTTACTACAAAGTAGTCACTAAGCTCTTCCAGCAGCAGCAAACAAACCGTTTGCCGGAGCCTAAAACCGAAATCGAAGCCCTGTGGGGATAGGGTTTACAGTGTTTGGGGCTGCAGGTTTTATGGTTTTCGGGTTCTAGGCTGACGAACCCCAATGCCTAAACAAATCGGACCTGTGCAGGTTAGGCGTTGGTCTCCCAATTCAGGTTTTAGGTTCCGGGTTTGTGCTGCCGGGATACAAACTTAGGGTTTAGGGTGCAGGGTTCAGGGTCGTAAAGCAGCTTTTGCCGCAGGGACACCGTGGCGGGCGCAGGGGGCTCAGCACTGCACCACCTAGACCTAGGCTTCGAGCCCTGTGCCTTGAACCCTGAACACCTAGGGTTCCAGGTCTTGCCCCAAGAGGTCAAGTAGCCGATAATCATATACTCTCCAAAATCCTAACCTACATAACTACTATCCCAAAGCCGAGTACGTGATTATTGGGTCATATACTTTTTTCAAAATCCTAACCTACATAATGTCTATCCCAAAACCGATTACCTGACTACTGGGTCCTTTGGAACCCCTGGGATCGGGTTCCATGTTTTTTTGGCTTTGGGGATTCGGACCTCTGGGCTGCGATGTTTGCAGTCATTCACTGCGCCCCTAAACGGTGAACCATAAAATTTAAGCCTAAGGACCTAACACCCCGAGAACCCTGCCCTAAACCCTTATAAGGGCCTCAGCACAAACCAAGCTCGTTGGGGTGGCCCGAGCTTCCTGGAATCAAAGCTGCCCTAGGTGTCGTAGTTTGGTTTCAGGCATTCGGTATTTTGGGGTGATGATCTTACCCTAGGGCCCTAGGGCTCCATAGTCGTTCCTTTTTGGGATTACCTTATAGGATTCTATATATGAACCCCAAAAAGGAACTACTATGGAGCCTATGGGTAGAGTCGTGGTGCACCCCCTACGGTCGACAGGATGTACTGGAATTGTTCGAAAAAGTAGATGCAGTATCGTGATGAAGTCTTCGTAGAAGTAATATGGCGTAGCTATGTTATCATATACCGCAAGACTCTCTTCTGGGTTGTTTAGGTTTCACGGTTGAGGGTTCGGGGTTTAGGGTTTGCGGCTGAGGGGTTCAGGGTGTTAGTTTGGCTTTAGGTTTCGTTTCTGGGTCGCTTGTGATTCGTCAGAAGCAGCGGCTCTTGGACCATCGCGGCATAGTCACATTCACCTCAGAAGTTCAGGAACAGGAAGCCGAAGCCCCCTCATAGATGTTGGGGTGTCGGAGCAGCTCGGTGTGAGTAGTTTCGAGTCTTTAGAAAGTTCATCGGGTTCAGGTCTAGGGTTCCATCAAGTTCCCAAATCCCTCCACGAAGATCCCTGTCTTCACAAAGGGTCTAGGGCTTAGGAGACTAAATGCTACCGTACTTGGGTTGATGGCAGCAGCACTTGTAGGTGTGTTCGGCCCGGTTCCTGGTTCCTGGGCTTGAAACGTCCTTCCTAGGCATTGGAGAAGATAGTCTATCTGGACAAGGTGGGAGCAAGTGTTTGGGGCTGTGCTTCTAGTGGAGGAAGAGAATATGGTCAATGCGTCGGTAATACACACTTGGCAATGGCCTCAAACTCTTAGCTCCCATCGATTTTCGAGATACGATATGCATGTGGTTCGTGGTCGATTGCGGACTGCCTTCTTATTTCAATGTGGTTTCATAATGATGTGTGACATTGTTCTAAGTGAGGGTTCAAAGGACCTTATAGTCACTTGTAAAGCGAGCCACTAACCGTAAGCAACCTGCAAGCGTTCCGGCATGAAAAAAACACCACATATTCTGACTCCATAAGCCAGAAGCCGTCTTGATGATGTAATTTGAGGACTCGTTGTAAAGGATGTCGATGTCTGTCTCAGAGGCTCTCCGACCGACGGATGTTATATGCGCATTAGCTGACCAGCCAATGTCAGAACTCTTTGGGGCTCCAGTTACCAGAGCAGTAGGGTACCGGCCATACACTATATGTAACCTCGTCACCCATTGTTTAGGTATTTAGGTACCTGGAAGCCCAGCGAATACGTTCTACATGGATGCATGCGTGGATGTATGGATGTATTGGATGCATGTATGGATGTATGGATGTTTGTAGACATACATTTGCGGTGGATGTTTGGATGTATGGATAGATGGATGGATGGGTGCATGCATGCATGAATGGATGGATGGATGCATGGATGGATGAATGGATGGATGGATGGATGGATGGATGTACTTATGCATGTATGATCATGTATGTATGTCCCTGCCGCAACACGATAGTGTTTGTGACCCAGGCAGCAGCTGAATTTGTGCAAGCTTTCACATGGCTCTGAGAGAAGCTCCAGAAGCCGGGTGTAGGCAGAAGTATTCCGTCGTTTGCTCCTCCCGCTCCAGGTCGTCCGTATGTACCACCTAATCCTAATCATCAAAAACACCCTCAACCTGCAGCTTAGCCTTGACCCTGAAGCACCAACCCTCAAGCTGTTCCTGCCTAAAGCCACCTGGGGGAACAAGTATTTGGATTTGGACACATGCCGAGACGCTGTTTTTTGCATTTTAAGGCCTGGGGAATCCAATCCGAAGCCATGAAGATTGCTTGGTTAGCTCCAAGGGCTTAAACCCCATAATCTGACGTGCCCTCCTCGTCCTACTGCTCCTCCTTCTACCCCTCCTCCTCCTCCTCCTCCTCCTCCTCCTAGCTACAGCTGCTCTCTTGCTGAGGGAGACGCCGCTGAGGAGTCGGCGACGAATCTCGGCGGCAGACAAGCAGCCAACCCCAGTCGTTATCTCGTGAAAAGGGTCCCAAAAGGTTTCATGGGGCTTTGGAGGTGGGAAGGCCCCAAGGGGTCTTGGTATCTTCCTGGGAGGGTAAGGAATGTTCGAAGGAGAGCCATTGTGCCCGTGGAGGTCTCAAGCACGGGAGTTTCGAGGGTCTTGGAAATATCATGACCCATCAAGGTCTTTCTTTTTGCTGGGCCTTCCCGTCAGTCATAACTTATGTCGTTGCCGTATTCTCCCACTGATCGCACTTGATCTGAATTGCAGCGTTGCATGAGTCGCAAACAGGCACACCTTCGAGCCTAACCACCTTCCTCCCACGATCCCGAGCACACTGCACTGGCGGCAGTTGCCAGTGGAGTGCCTGCTACATCGATCCGCTAGGGTTCAGGGTTTAGGGGTTTAGGGGTTTAGGGTTTAGGATTTAGGGGTTTAGGGTTTAGGGTAACTTGCCAGCGAAGCTTGCCATCTTCAGCCATGTAGCCTCTGCACATCGCACACAGTGGTAGGTACAAGTCATGGTCAACTGTATCTGACCTTGCACTTCATACAAACCCTTCCCAAACCCTAAACCCTACACCCTAAGCCATACGCCCTAAACCCCAAACCCCGAACCCTAAAGTTGTATAGGGTTTTACACATGGTTGCTGAGGATCTCACCAGGGCGCAGGGGTTTCGGTTGTTTTGGGTTTGGCTTGGCTGTAGACGTTTCTGTAAGGGGGGAGGGGTGTGGTAGAGGGATCTATTGCAGTTTAAGCATGTTTCGGGGTTCATGGTCTGAGGTTCCACTGAACTTCAAGCCTTACATTGGGCAAAGCGTTCACGCAGAACCTATCAACCGCAAGTCTAAAGCACCAGGCCCCTTCGAACCCTGCCACTCCCCTACCCCCTAACCTTTTAAACGGCCCTAAACCGTACATCTCACACCCCAACCTCTAAGCCTTGACTCACTGAGCCCTATAACTATACCCTATATACCCTAAACCAGAACCCTAAACCCTAAACCCTGCATACCGAGGAAAGTGTTCAATGACAAGCCACCGAAATCAACTGCACCACCCGAGGCAACTGGGGAGGAGGTAGACCTAAACACACTTTTCAGATATTGATTGGCTTATACGGCTTTTATAGGCTGCCAGCTGATGGGCTTCATTAGGTTTTGCATGTGTCTTTCGGGGGTTTCGACCCCTGAGGGAAAACAAGAAAGAGCAGCTCTCTCAATGCCTTAGCAAGAGGATCCCTAATACCGTTGTCCCTATCAAGACTCTTGAAAGGAGGGTTGTTCGGGTGGGCCTTTGCCTTAACCATGCGTGGAACTGGAGACTTGATCTTTAGGTGCTTAGGGCTTGTCGGAAGACTGGAGCTCTGAAACGAAATCCCTCAAGCAGGTACGGCTTGAAAAGGGTTGAGGTGAGGAATGTGGTAAGTGATCTCTAGAGGGAGCAGCTTGGGCCTACCAACCAGAAGTCGCCCAATGGGGCCGAATCCTTCTAAAGCCGAATTGGGCCCCAGGGCTCAAAGCTACCTCGAGGTCTGTTGAGACCCAGCACCCAGAGCGTCCCCCTCTCCCCTTTCCCTAGACCCCCGCTACTAGAATTTGGAGTTGCCAGATGGTTGTGGGTGTGGTAGTTGTTGATCCTTTACATTAAGGGTTACTTTGAGGGTTCGTGTTAGGGTTCGGTTTTGAGGCTTCCTTTAGGGATCCTCTAGAGGGTCTGGCAGATGCCAGGCGCAGCTGTGGACGCAGGAAAAGGCAGATGAGCTCCAGGTCGGCCCAGGATTTTCGATTCTTAGGGGTTCGGACTTTACGGGAAAGAGTCTTAGGAGGGTAGAGTCTTAGGGGTTCGGGCTGTACGGGGAGGAGTCTTAGGAGGGTGAGGCATGTAGGTTTTGGGCTTCCGGGGGTTCGGATTTTCAGGTTTAGTGGCTGGGGCCGTGTCGGGGTTTTTGAGCGAGTTGTGATTGCCGGGCTGGTCTAAAGCTACCATCTCTTTCGAATGAACCCCCAAACCCTGGTCTACGGTAATTGCATGGTGGACGGAATCAGCATACTATTATGCCCAGACCTTCCAAAATCCCTTAATTAAGAATATACCTTAAATCATATTAAGGATCCTACTATAATTTAAGGTATATTCCGTAATTAAGGGGTTTTGGAAGGTCTGGGTGTGGAGGTTGAGAACTAGTGACTGGTGGTTGCGTTATTGTCTTATACCTTAGAAGCTGCCCCCACCCTGTAATAGTGACTATAAGGATTATATTAGGGCCCTATTATATTCCTATTATGCCACTATTACAGGGTGGGGGCAGCTTCTAACTTATACCCTCTCTGAAGGTGTTACGAAGGTTTCATAGGATTCTAGAAGATGGGTGCGTTCGGCACCTTTGCCCAGGTTTCTTCTCTTGGCTTCGGGGGAAGGGGGGGGCCGGTCCGGGTACGAGATTCGAATCATGATGACGATGATGAAAATTCAGATCTTTTTGAATTCGCTGGCAGGCGCGATGAATTTGAACATCGGACAAGAAGTAGTAGTGTATGGACGAAAGTATCTTGAAACTGTTGCAATGTGATTTGGCAGTTACGGGTTTGAAGGTTTGAATCGGGGGGCCGAACTCTGGAGTTCTTAGTCTGCAAATCGTCAGTATCAGTTACAATCAATATTGACATCATCATTAAATAATTACTCCCCCTAAGGGTCCAAGTACCCAAATAGTAGGGTTTCAAAATCCAAAAAGCATTCAGAGTATGGATTTGGGGACTTAAAACCCTGCTATTTGGGTACTTGGACCCTCTGGGTCCGATTAAGAGCATCACGAGCTTGAGAGGCTGCGGTCGACCGGGTTTTCAACAAGGCCGCCCTTACGGGACCAAGGGGTCACAGTAGACACCTCCAGACACGATGGTTTAGGGTTTAGGGTTTGGGGATGAGGGTTTAGGATTTAGGGTTTTGCAGAGTTCAGCCCTACATCAAAGGGATCAGGAGCTTTTTCCAATTAGGGAACTCCAGGTCTACAGATATTCCCGATGTCATAGACCCAGAAAAGAGATAGTGAGGGTTTGTAGAGTTTCATAAAGGGTTTTTGAGGAGTATCAAGCTTGGACATCTGGCAAGGATCCTACACTTTCGGAGTCCAAACCCTCCCAGACCCAGAACAGTAGTATTAGTATTATGATGAATATGAAATCAACCAGGTCTGCGCGCATCAAGCATGTGGAGATGAACGAGCATGATGTTTGCAGCACACGAGTGCTCACAGTTGCGTAGAGATCTTGAGTACGACATGTCTATCCTCACACTTTGTACAACTGGTGAGTAGAAGGACTTGTCTGAACTGGGGCATGTTTGCCCAACCGTAAAGTTCATCATGGTGCAAGCCATGATCGACAGAAGCCAGCAGTTTCGTGCGCTTTTGTGAAAACAGTGATCCAACTCGATGCCATAAGCCCTTCGCTTCTGCTCCAACCAGTCAAGACGATATCTACGACCTCAACCCGGAGTTTGAAGTTTTCATATTAGTATCAGTAGTGGTAGTAGTAGTAATTGTAGTAGTAGTAGTTGTAATTGTAGTAGGAGTAGCAGTAGTAGTAGCAGTAGCAGTAGCAGTAGCAGTAGCAGTAGCAGTAGCAGTAGCAGTAGCAGTAGCAGTAGCAGTAGCAGTAGCAGTAGTAGTAGTAGTAGTAGTAGTAGTAGTAGTAGTAGTAGTAGTAGTAGTAGTAGCAGGTTCTACATCCTAGTTTCATTTGGAATCGCTCCGTGGGCAGGCAGAAGGTCAGGGCGAAGATAGCTCCCCTTGCAAGCCCTGATTGACAAGGGCTGCTATAAGGGTACGATGATATAGGGGCCTTAATAATTAGAATAAGGTTTCATTACAAAGGTGATTTGGAGTAGTAGTAGTAGTAGTAGTGGTAGTAGTAGTAGTAGTAGTAGTAGTAATAGTAGTAGTAAAAGACTTGGGTATCTGGGCCTCTGCGATGAAGAACTTTACAACTTCTTCAGCCCTAGGCTGATAAGCCCCACACTCATCAACCCCCCCCCCCTAAACCCTTGGAACCCTAAAACCCTAAACCTTTATTAGAAGTCGCAGCCTGCGGTCTGTGGGACAAAGGAGCAAAACAACATCCGAAACCCTCTAACCCAACCGCAGAATCCCTGACCCTAAGCCGCGTTGTCTGACCGCATGTGGGGGTTTCCGAAAGGCCCTTAATAAAGGATCCTACTATTTAGGGTACTTCATGAGGGTCCCCTTATTTTCGGAAACTTCCGTGTGCTTTCAGGGAGGCGACTCCTTGTTGGGAATGACATTCTCCTTCACAATTGCAGCCGCTTGCCTTGAACAGAGCCTTCGGGTGTAAGAATTTCAGGCTTCGCCCCAAACCGTAAAGGGCTTAGGGCTTAGGGCTTAAGTTTAGGGCCTATTTAGGGTTTAGGATTTAGGGTTGTGGTTCGTCCCTTTCTCGTAGGTTATCTTCCGACAGTTTCGGATTTGGAGCCGGGGGGTGCCGGAGGAGTCAGACACTGTCCGAAGTTTCGAGTTTCGCTGTAGACCTGCACTTAGGGGTACTTAGATTTGTTTTTTTTAATTTTTTGTTATTATAATCCCTAAGAAACAGCTAGAAATGTAATTTTTGCTAGGGTTCTAAGTTCAGTATAGTGCAGCTTCCAGATCACGAAGGTTCCTACACGGAGCAGTCAACGCCACAGCCCGAAGCCCGAAGCCAGTAGAAATTAGTACTGCCCTGTAGCACACCGCAGAAACCCTTCATGTTCATACATCACAAGACCCTCAGCCAACCGTAAGTAGCGGAGCCTGTTTCCTGCAACATGTATTGGAGCCATACGAATCCCGTTAGCACCAAAGGTTTCTGCATCATTTAAGGCAGCCGAACCGTGCGACTAGGATACCCTGTAAGGAGGGATATGGGGGTTTCCGAAAATAGGGGGCCCTAATATAGTACCCGAAATAGTAGGATCCTTATTATAAGGACCCCCAAAATCAGTGACCCCTAATTTTCGGAAGGCTCCCATTTGGTTCAGGGCTTAGAATCCTTTCGTTTGGGTTTTTTCAAGAGTTTACAGTATCATTATGTATACACGGTAAAGTATTGGTAAATGTGATTTGTAACATGTGGAGGGTGCCGGACTGCTTAGGCCTCGCACGTAGTGTAGGGGCCTTGCTTAACTACCTTTACTATTTTGGGGGGTTCCTTATCATAATCATAGTTTTTTTGAGTCCGAAAACGCTACTCTAATTATTAAGGCCCCTATATTCGTATAAAGCTTCTGTTCGACGTGTTGCACATGCTTGAAATACCCACAGGTGCCCATGGCAAACAGGCTTGGCCCCGCGGCCACGCTGATAGTATAAACTGCCTGTTTAGATGTTTGAAAACTCGCATGTTTAACACGCGTGAACATATGTATATATATATATATATATGTATCTATACAGACATACATACACACATATACACATATATACCATATATACATACACAGTTAGGATGTAGCTCTTTTAATTTGAGTTATGACATCGGGGCTCTGAGTTCAGGGCCTAGACGTCAAGGTTCAATTCTTCGGGCTTAGGATTGTCGGATTTCTGGGTGACTCGAGGACCCGCGCATCGAGGATTGTCCGCTGATTGGCTGTGCCTTGGCCGGTCTGCAAGTTACCCTAAGGCCCTAAAGGAGCTTATGGGTAGTTTCTAAAATCGAAGGATCTGGTTTTATGCGAGCTTCTAATCGGGCTCTTGTAAAAAGACCTTGCGTGTGCTACTGTGTATCATTGCTGAGTAGTTTGTCGCTGTCTTTCCCGGTTCTCTTTTCTCGCGCTTGGGTCTCCAAAGAAATGGGCAACTGTCAAAGACATGGTTCCTTTGGAGAGCCCTTTTGTCATTCTCCCCTGTGATTTGGGCACCCAAAAGGAGCCCCAGTTTTGAAAGCCTCCCGAATGCTCTTCTAACCTTATGTCAGTATTCGAGAAGACGTTGGGTCCTTGAATTTCTGGGCTCCAAAGTTTATTGCATTTATCATTATGGGGGTTGGATCAAGAAATGTGGGGTTCCTGAGGGTTCCCCAGTATCTTCGTGTATAAAAACCCTGAAGCCCTGGTCTAATCAGTCATGATGTAAGATTAACGTTCCCGGATTCTTGGACTTGCAAGGTCTTGGGCTTAAGCTTCGTAGTCCCTCCACCCCAAGCCCTAAACCTTTAGCCTACTTGACAAGCCCTATCCCTGAGGCTCCGAAGCGCCCAACTCACGAGCCCCAAAGCTGGTGCTCTTGTGTACACTGGGAGCCGAAGCATTTGGGAGTTTCCGAAAATTAGGGGTACCTTATTTGGGGGTCCTTCTAATAAGGATCCTACTATTTGGGGTTCTATCTTAGGGTCCCCTATTTTGGGAAACCCCCATTTGGTGTGTCAAAACAGTTGATTCTGGCAGACCACATCCTTGAAAGACAAGCAGCCACTCCGAAGTCAATGGCAAAGAGGGCGCCGAAAGTTAAACCCGGAGGAATGTCATCCTTTCGCAGCACCCTTCGGACATGTAAGTATTGCTCGAACAAGAACAACTAATCAGACCTTCCGGCAGATAGCAACAGCTAGACCTTAAGATGATTGCCATTACAAAAGATTAGTATTAGTATTGTTGTTATGTTTGTTCATTCTTATTCTCAGAAGCTGTAATGTTTAAGAGATGCGGGACCCTCCCAGCGGAGATCCCCAAGGTAGCTGAACACCCGCTGCTGTCCCGAAAAGGTGTGTAAACCAAAGTCAGAAACCACCGAGGACGGTTATCGAGCCCTCTAGAACCTTCATACAGGTTTTATCTTTGGGTATGCATATATATATATATATGCATATATATATATATATATATATATATATATATAGATATCACATCCTTGCAAAGCCGTTGTTTGGGGGAGCCCTGAAGCTGGAGAAATGAGGCAGCACAGGCTTCGGAACGCTCTGCGGGTACACTGTCAAGGAAATCGTGGGGAGGCGACGGAGTGCAGGGTTTGAGTGGTTCAGGGCCTGTGAACTGTAGGGATGTTACGAGTTTAGTGTTTGAGGTATGTTCCGGGTTTAGGGATCCGGGGGATGTAGTGGGTGTTAGGATTCTTTGCACGTGTTTCAACTGGATAACCACAGTAGTTATAATTCGTTTCACGAGGGAGAAGCGCCCGATGGCTTTGTCGGGATCTCGAATCGAAGGTTCAGCTTATACGCTCATACCCACATGTACTTGCACGTTAGTCCAGGTATCACCACAACTTAGGACTTGTAAGTTGCTCAGACGGGATGGCTATACTTAGTTTGTAGGTGGCTTGGCCCTCCAGGAAAGGTTCATGGTTTAGTCAGAGTTTGGGATCTACCTGTAGCCGAAAAACTTATAACTGCATCCGGGCCGCTCAAACAAAAGGTTCCTTCTTTTGTTTTCGCGGGAAGGACGGTGCCTTGGGCTGCAGGTAGGTTGCATTGTCAGAAGTGTTTGCGACTTGCCAAGCCTGGAAACTATCAAACACCTGCAGAATGATTCAATCAAGGATTTGTGTACGTGGGACACTAGCAAGCATCAAAGAAGAGTCCGAGGGCCAAAAAACCCACACTGCTCAACAGAACTTTCAATGGATTGAATACCTTGTTCAATTTCCGGACCTTGATCGTAAAACGGTGAGGGATTGGATATTGCCGGTTCGCAACATGTCGATTCATGTGGAAGTTGGACTGATCAGTGGCAGGAAAGCCACTGTGCGAGCAGACTTGGATGAGACCGTGGGAACGTTGGAACGACGGGCACAGATTGCACTCGGGGTCGGGACAGGGCGTCTCCTGGACTCATCTGGAAGCGTCGTGGAAGAATGTGTACCGATCAAGAGAGCAAGGATGCAGAACGGTGACTCGCTCACCTTGCTGCGCACCAACACGGTTCAAGTTCAAGCCTCTCGTGACTCATTTGCTGCCATTCTTGGCGATGGATCGGTGGTGACCTGGGGTGATCCTCGCCATGGTGGCGACAGTAGTGCTGTACAAGATCAGTTGAAGGCTGTGCAGCAGATAAGTGCCTGTCCCAGCGGCGCTTTTGCTGCCATTCTGCACGATCGATCGGTGGTGACCTGGGGTTGTGGGCCCTCTGGTGGCGACAGCAGCGCTGTGCAGACTCGGCTCAAGAATGTGCAGCAGATTCAAGCAAATCGTCACGGAGCTTTTGCTGCCATTCTTGACGATGGATCTGTCGTGACCTGGGGTCATGCTGACTTTGGTGCCGACAGCAGTGCTGTGCAGACTCTGCTGAAGAACGTGCAGCAAGTCCACGCTACTATCGGCGCTTTTGCTGCCATTCTTGGTGATGGATCTGTCGTGACCTGGGGTAACGCCGAGTGGGGTGGCGACAGTAGCAGTGTGCAGTGTCAGCTGAGGAGCGTGCAGCAGATCCAAGCCTCTCATTCGGCTCTTGCTGCAATTCTTGGTGATGGATCTGTTGTGACCTGGGGAAATGCTGCGTATGGCGGTGACAGTCGTGCTGTGCAGGATCAGCTCAAAAATGTGAAGCAGATACAAGCCACAGTCTTTGCCTATGCGGCCATTCTTGACGACGGATCCGTCGTGACCTGGGGTTACAGGGACTATGGTGCCGACAGCAGCCCTGTGGAGACTCAGCTTAAGCACGTGCAGCAGATTCAAGCGTCTTTTTCTGCTTTTGCTGCCATTCTTGCTGATGGATCCGTCGTGACCTGGGGTCATGCTGAATTCGGTGCTGACAGCAGAGCTGTGCAGACACAGCTGAAGCATGTGCAGCAGATCCAAGCCTCTGAGCGCGCTTTTGCTGCCATTCTTGACGATGGATCTGTCGTGACATGGGGTGATGCCGACTGGGGTGGCGACAGTAGCAGTGTGCAGTGTCAGCTGAAGAACGTGCACCAGATTCAAGCCTCTGGTTGTGCTTTTGCTGCCATTCTTGACGATGGATCCGTTGTGTCCTGGGGTCCTGCTGGTGCTGGTGGTGACAGTAGCGGTGTGCAGTGTCAACTCAGGAATGTGCAGCAGATCCGTGCCTCTGCCGGCGCTTTTGCTGCCATTCTGGACGACGGATCTGTCGTGACCTGGGGTGATGCTGCGAAAGGTGGTGACTCCAGCGGCGTGTTTCAGGGCCAGCATCGGAATAGGTGACAAGTACATGCTGCCATCAGCAGGCGCAGCAGTTCACGGGGTCTGCACATCGCAGACATGGCCTTGAAGCGCTAGTGAGGTTTTGACAACATGTGCAGAATCCTTCAAACCTGAAGGGAAGATGGTGAACCTCTTGCATATGCTTGTCAAGATCCCACTGCTTGAAGAGTCAAGACGTTTGCGTAGTGTTTGCGACAGATCTCGAAGACAACCCTTCCCGTTCTGGCTGGAGGGCAAAACACCTGATTTCAAGATTGCCCAACCCTAAACCCTAAACCTAGGACCTGGAGTAGGCCCTTATTCCCTTTTTGTAGGGTTCAGGTTCCCTTATAACTTATAACCCCCTTCAAACTAATCCTAGGTTACTCTTGGGTCTAGAAACCCTAAACCCAAACCCACGTTAAGCCTTAGGACTTGCTCTGCAGCCTAAGCCCTGGCACACAATTGGGAGTTTCCGAAATTGTACCGTATTTGGGGTCCTTAAAATAAGAATCCTACTATATCTGGGTCCCCTATTTTCGGAAACTCCCAAATGCTCAAATGATGAAGGGAACGTTGTACACAAACCTTACCCTAAGGCCCCATAGTAGTTCCTTTTCAGGATTGCCTTATAGGATTCTAAATATGAACCCCAAAAAGGAACTACTTTCGGGCCCCCTGGAGAGGCCGGGGATGACATTTTCTGAGGCCTTGCTAGCGCCGAGCCTCACGGGAAACTGTAACGCTTGAAGCTTCGGGTGTACTTAAAGGATCATGGGACTTAGTAAACAGGGTTATATAATTAGGGTAACTATACTTATAACTACTTAAAACCCAACTTAATTTACTTAAAACCATACTTACTAAGTCCCATGATCCTCCAAGTAGGGTTTCGGATTCGGGTTTGGGGTTTGGGGGGATTTGGGGGGTGATTTTTTGAACAAAGGGCTTTAGGCTATGACGCTATGAGGGGTTTAGACTTGGGATTTGTGACTTTGGGTTTCACTGCAGGTTCTTGAGTAAGCGGAACGCTACTCGTTAGCATCCACTACCGCACCTGTAATGCAGAACCCCAGAACTCTAGTCGGTTTGTTCAAGCTTAGCTTCTAGAATAGAAGACTCCAAGAACAGCCCAACAATTTTCCTCAGCATGCACACCCTCAACCGTTCCTAAACATTAGAGCCCGAAGTATGTAATATCAGAAGGTTGCTGGTAAGGCCCTTTCTTCCCAAAACCAAGCATGCAGATCCAATAACCTACTATCTTAGGGGCCAGCCCGCGATGTTGCGGTCATGTCGTGATTTGCGACTACCGGCAGAACCCAACGTCCTTGAAGACCTCGCAGGAACTGTCGCTTCCTGGTGGATCCCGTGCCGAAGGAAGAGATTGATTGGACCATGCGGAAGCAAGCCAAGGCCCCGCGTTGTATGAGTTTTTGATAAGTCACGGTGATCGTTTCTTTGTTTGCCCGTTGTTATCACAAGGTGTTGGGCCTAGTGCTTTTGTAGGGTCCTGGGTTTCAGGAATCAGAGGAGAGGGCTTTTGGGTGCTGTCCGAACATGAGACCAAGCCGGAAAGCGTCGGGTGAACTGACAGACTGCAACCGAGATTGCAGGGATACTATAGGGGCCTAAATAATTACCTATACTATTATGGAGGGCTCAGAACACGGGCAGAGGTCCCGATTGCTGTAGGCCCCAGAACTCCACAGCGAGTTCGCAAACAACCATTCCGCCCCGCTCTCCTGCTTGGCATCGACATCTACGCCTGCTTCGTTCTCGTGCCAGGAGGCACGTGCGAACAGAGATTCGCAAGGGCAACCAGCCCTCGTCCCGTGCCCTCAGGCGTCTTGAGGGACATCATTCAAAGCCCCGGTACAGGCTTCCGGACAAGCCTATGGGCAAAGAATGGCAGCATTACGGTTCCTATGGCCAAGGCCGGGACCAACGAGACAAGTACTGGCGAGGTGCTTGGTCACCCTCGCAGCGCTATGGGGACAGGTCCAAGGATGCCAAAGGCAAGAGCAAAGGCAAGAACCAGCCCCAGTTTCCCAAGTACGATGCACAGAAACTGGATATCAAGGAGCCACAACACTTGGTGGAAGTGCACACTACGACTTCCACCTCTTCGAAGACTGGTGGCCTAGTTGCAGAAGTCCAGGCACAGCTCAATCTTGCGCGGAAGGCAGAACAGCGGACCAAGTCGATTTTGGCCGCCAAAGAACAGAGACTTGCTCAGTGGACCAAGTACAAGACGGATATGAAGAAAGCCTTCAACGCGGAGGAACTTCGCCACCGCAAGCTCTTGGACAAGCTGGACGAAGATCTACACGAGGCTCTTGCCCAGCAAGAAGAAGTGAGTGCAGTACTCGCCACCTATGCAGATGCCAGGAAGCATTTGCAACAGCCCTCGGACACCGACGACGATGCTTGGGACCGCCTGATGATGGAGGATACGGCCACTCGGGAGACAGACAAGGAGGCATTTCAGCGATACATAAGACATGCCCGTCCTGCTCCTGGTCTCCTACCTCGGCAGGAAGTTCCGGAAAGACCCCACCCGAAGTGCTTGGCACTACTTCGGGAACAGGGAACAAAGTGTATTCTGGAGCCGTGCCTCCAGGACCTTATCAGTCCTCCCCCAGCACAATGAGGACTACCGAAGGAGCTCACAAGGAGATGGAGGTGGACCCTCCTCAGACAGCTGGTTTTTCTGCGGGAGTTGTCCCCCCGGGGATGAAGCAGGACGAATACAGCAAGGTCCACAGCCATCATGCGGATGTGGACAAGGAAGTTATCCCGAGATCTTCTACAGATGCGAACACAGTGACAGAGGATCCGGACAATTCGACCGCTCATCCTGGCTTAAAAAGCAAGCTTCCCACGAGACGGGACATCAAGACGTCTACCAGGACCTCGCCGCAGCACAGCCACCAGCTTGGTCCCTCACTTGGGGACAAGCTGGCCGAGAGGCGCGAAAAAGAAAGGGGTGCTGCTATGCAGCCCTTTCGCAATCCCACTCCCAAGGAACCATGCCAGATTGCACAGCCTGCACAGACCATACAGGACGACGATCACGACGGCTCTACGGCCGAGGACGTGGTGAGATCGCCAGGCTTTGGAGAAATGGGCTAACGTGCACTCCTGAAGGGCATCCTGAGTTGGCATGTACAGTAGGACAGCTGAAGCTTCCCGGAGTTCCCACAAAGGAGTCCAGTTGCAGGCTAGTAGGCCCGAGCTTTGTGAGTGATGGGCACTCACAAGTGGGAGTGCCTGTTGGTCAATGCTTTGGATTCCTTTTGCGGGAGCTTTCGAGTCGCCTTCTGCTGTGGTCTCACTGTAGGGCGCATATCCAGGGTGTCTTCTCTCACGATTTGCCGGGGCATTTCGACACATCATGGGAACCTGGGCTTCTCCTTTCCCTGTGTTCCGCACATATTTCTCAATTTTGCCGCGATCAGGGCTGTTGGACTCCTTGCCCTTCTGCCTCATCCTATTCAGGGTCTACTGCTGTACCCTACAATCCCTCACGTTTGTCCTTCGGGTTTAGGACCTTCCACCACCCCTATGTTCGCCTTTGCATCTGTAGGGCGTTGGTCATGCATACCAAGTGGAACAGAGCGCTCAACATGTACATCGGTAGCTCTGGGGTACAGGCCTGGACCCTTGGTTTGCTGACCAGTTTTTCAGTTGCTTTCATCGACATTGCCGAAGCAGCTTTTGAAGGCCTGACACAGCCTTTTATGCTGCTTGTTTTCCTCAGTCTTTTTCGAGTGCTTGTTCGGCCGTTACACTGTGACAGGTTCCGGCTTACCAAGCCAATTGGTTGGTGTACCCGACCCGGACATTATGCAGTAGTTTTGGCAATAGGGAAGATAGGCTCTACCGAGCAAGCCGTCCTTCCATGGGAAAAACCAAGGAGTAGTCAGGTTGGCCAGCACTCTGTTCCTCTCGTTCGTTGGATTAGGCTGTGTCTCGGCCTTGCAGCAACGATACTGCACTACCTGACAGTGCCATCCGTCCCTACTCGGTGTTCTCCCGACCTCTTCCCAGAATGTGCCTCGCAGACTGCATATGAAGCACAGGTGCCCACATTGCCAGTTGTGGGTACGGCAAGCAGTTTCTTCACCAGTTTGCAGCCTGACGGACCCTCTCTCCGGGATAGAGTTCGTTTTCCTGCCAACACGGTGCAAAGAGGTGATGCTTTGTTGCCTGAAGCATTTCCCCCCACGACTGTATTGCGACCGACACCCACACCGCCGCAGGTTCAGCATCAGGATCATGTCACACAAGAGGCCATGCAGGTACCGGATATACTGCTTGCTACCTTCGTTGTACTCAAGTTTGACTTCGTGCCAGAGGTCGTTCAAGTAGCACTGCGGGTTCCGGCCACAGTCGGAGAGGCTCTTCATGCTGTTGATATGGTCAGAGATCACGATTTGAGTGTCCAGTACTCACAGCTGCTTGAGGTCCGACCCCAACCAAGCAGTCTTTTTGGCACTGTTCTGGCACTCCCACATTGGTGCAATGAAGAGCCCATCATTTGTTTGGACACGACAGCCCTCGATGGCAGGCTTTTCATCAAATCTTCACCATGGCAGGTCAGTAAGGTACAACTGTGCCGAATTGCAGGACTGTCTGATCCAGACAGAGTCTCGGTTTATGCCTTTGGGCATCCACAACCATTGGGGCACCTGGAAGTGATAGATGTTGAGCCAGCGGGATGCATTTTCTTCGTTAATGCTTGGGATCCCGGCAGGATAGGGCACATGCTTTCTGTGATGCTGAGATCTTCTTTTAACTGGGAAAGGCACCCACACCTTCCGGCACCAGCCCCTAGAAGAAGATTCTGCTGTGTTCTTGCGCGAGGCTACCGACTGATCACTTGGCCAGTCCGTTCAGGATACCAATACGAGGCGATTCTTGCCAATGCCTTTGATCTGCAAGCCGATGCCATTACTGTTCAGCTTACTCGTCCACTTCTTGAGGATGCAGAACTTGATGGTTGTCCATGTATCGGTGTTGTTGCGATTTCAGATGCCATCAGCAAGATACCCATACCACCTGGACGGTTGCTTCCCAGGCTCACTGCCTTTGTTGTCGATGCCAGAGCGCTGCTCATGGGATTCATGCTAGAGCATGCAGTTGAAGGTAGAATCGGACATGCTGATCTGGTGCACAGTCTTTCAGACTTCGTTCCCGACGGGTTTCAAGTTCAGATTGATGGAGCGCCACAGGATGACTCCAACACTTTCCTTTTGGTGTCCCCAGGGTGCGTTATTACTGCAATATACGTACCCCTCACCTCTAGTGAAGAGTCAGAACCTAGTTCTGACGGCAGCTTCGACGATGGTAACAGTGATGACCCGTCTCTTGATCGTCCTGACGCTAGATCACCAGATGACTCGCCGACAATGCGCGCAGGACCTTCTGAAACGGTCTCATTACGCTCCCGTTCCAGGAGTCGGACTCCGCCACCTAGCCACTCTCCCAATCAGGATAGAGCACGGATATGCTGCGACAAAGATCCTGCTTGTTCTCCCGAAGGGAAGTTCGTGGTTCACTCCCCACGTCGTCACCTGTGTTTTGACAGCTCCGAGAGCTCCCGTGAGATTGATCCCCTGCCTCCTTGCTGTGCTCCGGCTCCCGTTGACAACCTTGCTGGTAGTCCTAGAGTGGACGCCTTCGCTTGTCAAGCCAAACTGTTGACGGAGCCTGTGTGCAGTACACAAGCAGAGCATGCAGTCATACGGTCACTGCGTCGCACAGCTGCCCGACTCAATGAGCCTTGGCCTCTCTCCCTGCACCCTGCATCTGTTGCCGAGCGCCTTCCCTCCGGTCCGCCATCGAGTGACAGTTCTGTCTCTCAGCACACAGCCTGGGCCACCTTTGCTATCTTGGTTCCCAGCTATTGTCCAGAGATCCTCACCGTAGCGTTGTCATTCCCGACTGTGTTTGAGGAGGCAGCTGTTGCTCTTCAGGATGCCCGCGCTCCGGAGTCTGCCTTGGGTTTTCCATTTTTGCATCCCATCATGCCACAGCTTTTTGTCGATCTTGGCATTTGTATTGCAACCCCCAGCTGGAATGAAGATGCGATATTCATTTGCCTCGATCTGCTGGAAGTTGATGGCAGATTGTTTGCAATTTCGAGTCCTCCTTACCTGCAGAGACAGCACCTCATCTTGCTTGCATCCTTGCCTAGGGATGCACAGGTTGATGTTTTTGTTGGTGAGGAGTCGCTTCCCCTCGCAACGACTGCAAGTGTGCACGTCGTTACCGGCACCACAGTTACTTTTGTCCCTACTGGAGGGCAGCCCATGCACAATCTCAACTTACACGAGATGCTGCTAGACTACCGTATATGGTCGGCAGATTCTGTCTTGCCTGAGCGACAACCGACGGAAGCTCATTGCATT